TTTTTTTTCATTTGTGTTAATTGTGAAATTGGTTTTAAATTTGATTTCACTTGGCATTAAAAAGTCTTAAAAGGCCTTGAATTCATCAATCCAAAAATAAGGCCCTAATTAACCTTAAAACGTGGATTCTAAAACTCCAAATTTTGGGTCGTTAGAGGATTTTCAGGAATTAAATTAAGTTTAAAACTGACTGCTAATAATTATTTTTTAGCTATATTTGACAAAATAGCAGTTAGATGTGGATAAACACAATTGGTCTATTAGCAATATTTAAATAATTCAACCAAAAATACTTTGATTCATGAGTTTCGGCCACCGTTTATTTTTTTTTTTTTCATTTGTGTTAATTGTGAAATTGGTTTTAAATTTGATTTCACTTGGCATTAAAAAGTCTTAAAAGTTTAAATTTAACTTTCCTTAAACTGTAGGAACCCTGGTGTGTATGTGTCTCTCTCTCTCTTTCTATTTCCAACGCTTAATATTAAAACAGGACTTCCAGGCACAAACCTAATTTTGAAGTTTGTCCTTTTCCTAAAACCCAACTCAAACTTTAAATACCCACAAATCACAGTCTTCTGGAAATAGACAGTGCCCGTTGCTGTGGCTACATTGCTGATTCAAGAAGGGGTTGTGGCACTGACAAATTTCTCTCTACAGCAACCCCTCTTTTCTCTTTGACATACCAACACTATTTATTCTTACTTTGCATTTTTTTCATTTGTTTTAATCCTGCTTTCAGCTTTCCATTGTTTGAATTCCTTCAAATCTGCAAATTACCTTCATTCATGCAATGTTTACATGATTTTTGTGAAAGTACAATAATCAAATTATGTTTAGCGTTGGCGTTAGTGTTTAGGAAAATTATCCTGCCAGCGCAGAGCCGCTTAATTACAATAAGATTAATAGTTTTATCAGACCACCTCAATTACCTACACATGTTAACGTAATTATCTGCATGTGTTCTTCAGTCATTCCTCCCAGTCTGACTTGTCAGTCAAACAGCCGTCCTCTCACATCACTGGTGGCTGGATAGGAATGATGTGGTAGGATCACAGTAGTCATTCAGCTCCATCTGTTAAATGACCCTGTGTTTCAGATTTTTCTTATGTAGGCAGGTCACCTGTTTGTTTTTAAAACCAGCCCTTGCTTGTTATTTTGTTATGAACCCCCATATAGATATCACAAGTCAGCCCACACTGACCTACATACAGAGGTGGGAAGAGTACCCGAAAGATGTACTCATGTAAGAGTAGCACTACTTCAGCATATTTTTACTCATGTAAACCTCAAAATTATCTGTGCTAGAAATTTGTCATTGGATTGACAAAAAATAGAAAGTTATGGGTAAATTTTGGTGTTTTTAAATACTAAAATGAAGAAAAGTAATACAAATAAATGGCATTTACAAAGTAACTTATTCCAACAGGAGAAACACTTTTTCAAGTCAATATTTTTTCCTTCCTACATGTACGTATAAATATGTATATACATACTACTCAGGTAATAGTAGTGATACGTCATAACAGTATTACTCAAGTAAAGTAAAAAGTATGGTGTTGTAAAACTACTCCTAAAAGTATTTTTTTCTAAGAAATTTCTCAAGTAAATGTAACTGAGAAAATGTAACTACTGTAGTTTCCACTCACCTCTGCTAGTGTTGAATGATGGCAAAGTGATTGGAGGTAAATAACTGACAACATCTCTCGACTCCACTTTCAAATATTTTAATAATGTTTTGAAGCAAAAGATAAAGAAACAATGGTTGGTTCAAAACTTTTGTACTGAMAAAGTTTCATGATTACATTTATACATGATTATAAATAGTACCTGTGCACAGGAAAAAAATGTCTCATGGATGTATTACATTACAAGTATGATGATGTTAGAAGATTTTACTGTTTTGTTTTCTGTTTTAGAAAAGTAATAATAATGGAGGATTCAGAGCAGAATATCCATCTCAGGAACTTGTCTATGCTTCAGTCAGCAAATGAAGAGGAGGCTCTGAATTTACTCTTCCTGGGTGACACCAACCGTATGATTGCAGAAGTAAGAAACAAGGAACACACACACACACACACACACACACACACACACACACACACATGCAAACATGCATGCAGTGTTCCTCATCAGTACTGTGAACATTGAGCAGACTAACCACTGACCACTCCCAGGGTAAGAACCATGAAAGTTATTTTTTGTTCCAAAAATGCAATATGCATTCTGAAAGCTACCTTAAGACCCCTCTAAAATATAATTTTGGTCCTCTTTAGTCCCTTTTACCAGTCCCTTTCCCCTGTAAAACAGGCATTCTCTCTGTAATTTATCTTTATGTTGTGGTATTTTTTTTTTCTTTACTCGTTCAGACTCCCMACACTGATTACGCTGAGGTGGGTCAGCTTTTGCTTTGTAACTTGAGGTTTTGGAGCAAAGAGCTGATCTCACCTTGTTTATTTCTGTTACTAGTTTGTGTCTAAATAAAAGACAGTGAAGGGGACTGGATAATAGTTAGTTTTGCTTTTCATTTTAGAGTTTTTTAGTCACCTTTTGATGTGGCTGTGATTCTTCCACCACACTATCTGATACAAAGAAATATGACAGTTATTCGATATGTTATGACATTTCTTTTTTTCTTGAAATGTGTTCAGTAACTTGTTTAAAATGTCCTGGAGGATGATACAGAAAATTTATGGACTAACCAACACATGTTTAAGCAAAAGTAACTCATTGCTGCAATAGCTTATTTGTTGTAGTTACCTGGAGGACACTATCCCAGCTTTCCAGGCCTGTAAAACTTAAGGGGTATTTCAGTGGAAATGCATACTTAGCATGAGCTCCACGTTGACCAGAAGACCCCACAATGATCCACCCACACTGAAAGTTATACTCACTCRTTCTCTCTGGGACATTATCGCCAGAAGTTTCTCTTGAGCCTGAAGCAAACAAAGAACCTCTAACATGGTTAATTTCTCTCTAACATAATGCTCCAAGAAGTTTGTGCTCCCCAAGGACTTCCAGTAAATTTAACAGCAATGCCTTCTTTCTTCTCTTGATCTCAGCCATGTGGATAAAACATGACACATTCATTCATGCCAAACTCAACAGACCATGAGCTCACTCTCTTTGAAACTTAGCAATCCCCTCTTCACTTTTACTGGACAGGAAATAAAATACACCTTCCCAATGCTGTAGCCCTCTTTCAATTGAACAGGAAATGTTTCCTCTCATCTGGTCTTTTGTGACTCTCACTTTCCATAACTACAAGGCCTGTTGTGCTCGCCCTTCCATGCTGTACACTCAAGCTTCCTCAGGAACTTATTGAGGAGGGTAGGGTGCATAGCAGTTTGTCTAAGTTTAAACTTTGCTCCCATTAACTGAGGCAGTAATCTCTTAATGTTTATACAATTTTTAACATCCGATTGTCCCATTCTGTTGATCCACTTCAGCTCTGTGTGTGGTCAGTGTGTAGTTTAAAACATGTGGTTAGTTCAGGCTCTAGTGAGGTTGCATTGTCTCCAAAAAAATTTCACTTCTAAAGTTAAGGTTATTTCCTCTGTGGACATTCTTACAGTTTGATTGTTTAAAAAACGCATCCTGTGCCAGATGTGGCTTTGCCTGTGCACTTGTTTTTGAAATTTGTCACCTCTGATAACATTAAAATGAATTTATAAATGTTTTATTTATTTTAATTTTGATTAATTTAACTGACAACTAATGGAAACCCCAAATTCAGTATCTCAGAATATTTGAATATTTCTTAAGACCAATACAAAAAAGGATTTTTAGAAATGTTGGCTAGCTGAAAAGTATGAGCATGTACAGCACTCAGTATTTAGTTGGGGCTCCTTTGGCCTGTATTACTGCAGCAATGCGGCGTGGCATGGAGTCGATCAGTCTGTGGCACTGCTCAGGTGTTATGAGAGCCCAGGTTGCTCTGATAGTGGCCTTCAGTTCTTCTGAATTGTTGGGTCTGGTGTATCACATCTTCCTTTTCACAATACCCCATACATTTTCTATGGGGTTAAGGTCAGGMGAGTTTGCTGGCCAGTTAAGAACAGAGATACCATGGTCCTTAAACCAGGTACTGGTAGCTTTGTCACTGTGTGCARGTGCCAAGTCCTGTTTAAAAATGAAATCTGCATCTTCATAAAGTGGGTCAGCAGCAGGAAGCATTAAGTGCTCYAAAACCTCCTGGTAGACAACTGCATCAACCAGGAAAACACAGTGGACCAACAGCAGCAGATGACATGGCCCCTCTAACCATCACTGACTGTGGAAACTTTACACTGGACCTCAAGCAACTTGGATTCTGTGTCTCTCYTCTCTTCCTCCAGAGRCWMTGGGACCTTGATTTTCAAAGGAAATKCAAAATTTGCTCTCGATTTACCAGTCGGTCAAYGTTCCTACCCTCATCTRTGGTCACAAGCTTTAACAAGATCCTGGATACAAGCGGYCGAAATGAACTTCCTCCGTAGGGTGTCTGGGCTCTCMCTTAAGGGTGAGAAGCTCAGTCATCCAGGAGGGACTCMGAGTAGAGCCGCTGCTCCTCCACRTCCAGAGGAGCCAGTTGAGGTGGTTCATCTGGTTAGGATACCTCCTGGACTCCTCCCTGGTGAGGTATTACGGGCATGTCCCACTGAGAGGAGGCCCAGAGGAAGACCCAGGACATGCTGGAGGGACTATGTTTCTTAGCTGGCCTGGGAACGCCTTGGCATTCCCCCGGATGAGCTGGTCTAAGTGGGTGGGGAGAGGGAMGTCTGGGTCTCTCTKCTTAGGCTACTGCCCCCGMGACCCGACCCCGGATAAGCAGAAGAAAACRGATGGACGGACGGATGCAAAATTTGCTTTCATAAGAGAATGTAMGTTTGGACCACKCAGCAGTAGTCCARCACTTTGTGTCTTTAGCACAGGCRAGATGCTTCTGACACTGTCTCTAGATCAAGAGAGGCTTGACACAAGGAATGCAACAGCTGAAACCCATGTCTTCATACAGCTGTGTGTGGTGGTTCTTGAAGCACTGACTCCAGCTGCAGTCCACTCTTTGTGAATCTCCCCCACATTTTTGAAAGAGTTTTGTTTCACAGTCTTCACTAGGGTGAGGTTATCCTTAATGCTTGTCCACCTTTTTCTACCACATCTTTTCCTTCCCTTCDCCTCTCTATTAATGTGCTTGGACACAGAGCTCTGTGAACAGCCAGCTCTTTAGCGAGGACCTTTTGTGTCTTGCCCTCCTTGTGCAAGGTGTCAATGGTCGTGTATTAGACAACTGCCAAGTCATCAGTCTTCCCCATGATTGTGCAGCCTACAGAACAAGACAGAGAGACCATTTAAAGGCCTTTGCAGGTATTTTCAGTTAATTAGCTGATTAGATTGTGGCACCAGGTGTCTTCAATATTGAACCTTTTCACAATATTGTTGTTTTCTAAGATACTGAATTTGGGGATTTCATTAGTTGTCAGTTATAATCATAAATATTAAAAGGAATAAACATTTGAATTATGTCAGTCTGTGTGTAATGAATGAAAATAATATACAGGTTTCACTTCCTGAATGGAATTACTGAAATAAATCAACCAATTTTTTATCATATTCTGATTTTATGACCAGCACCTTTTCTATTTTTCCCACTCAAATAGTTTAAAATAAATGGCAGTGTTTTTCCAGGCTTCACTGTCTTTAAAAAAAATTGAGTTGGTTTGACCACTTTTAGACCTTTTCACATGTTAAGTTCAGTATAAAATGTTCTCARGACAGAATTGGGCTAGACCAATAAGAACCTAAACAACCAGCAATAAAACTCTARCAAGTAATATGACTATAAAGCCAGTTTGTTTAGTAAAGCAAAACAAGTTGCTTTAGTTGCTGGTATATTAACAGTGTAATTTTAAACCAGCTGCAAAAAAAAAAAAAAGAAAAACATGCCTGATTTTTACGTAATGCATATTCCAGTAAACAAAAATGTAAAATATCTAGACCAATTGGCTAAAATATTCACTTACAAAAATTAGATTTGACACTTGAGATAATCTCTATGTTTTAAATGTAAAACATCTTTCATTAATGACATGAAGATTTTGAGTATATGCAACCAGTCCAAAACAACAATCAAACTTATCTACAAAGTCTGATTAATGTGGGTTATTGGTTTAGTGTCTAAAACAGTCTAAAACCAATGCTAAAGCAGGACTCTCCAAATCTACCCTTGACCTTACACCTGYGCCTCATATACATCTAAAGGTTGTCTCAGATTACAAAAAGAATAGCCTTTGGAGCAAACTTGGACGYGTGCAGAGTGAAGGGAATTTGGACTGAGGAAAGAGATGACAGCAGCAAGTTAAGATAGTGAAAGATTTGTCAGGAGCTGTCATAACRCTAACAAGCAGGTGTTGGCACATTTATGCCTGAAAGAATTCAGAGCCAGTAAACACTTTAAAATTAAATGACCATAAATGTCTAGTGGGAATCTGCAATGCATTTTCTAAGCAGAGGGGGAAAAAAGCTTGTCAAATAATCTTTATAGAGAATTCCAGCATTGGCAATTTTGTCACTAGAATACTCCCACAATGTTTTAGATTTTTCTAAGTTGTATCTAACCTCTTTCTCTTTTTTTTCATCCTCAGACTCCCATGAACCAGGCTTCCACCCGCTCACACTGTATTTTCACCGTGCACCTMTGCAGGCGTGAACCTGGCTCAGCCACCGTGCTGCGATCCAAGCTTCACCTGGTGGACCTGGCTGGGTCGGACAGAGTTAGCAAGACAGGTCTAGATGGGCAGCTGCTCACTGAYGCCAAATATATCAACCTTTCCCTGCACTACTTGGAACAGGTGGACACTTGTTCTTTTATTTTTATTTATTTTTTTGATATTAACAGCACTTATATTGTGCTTTTTGGTTGTTCTCTTTTTCAGGTGATAATAGCACTTTCTGAGAAGAATCGCTCCCATATCCCATACAGAAACTCCATGTTGACATCAGTTCTGAGGGACAGCCTCGGGGGCAACTGCATGACCACTATGATCGCCACATTGGCAGTCGACAAAAGGAACCTTGATGTGAGGATGAGTAACCTATGGTCATTTTCATACACAATAATTTAAGAAAAAGAATGAAGCATAGAATATCATCACTTAGCAAATGCATATTTATTTGCAAGTTGTTACAATTATTTATTTGTAATAGCACATCCCAATCAACATTGTAGCTTTAAAACAACAGCATTTTAATTTTCTATTTATCGTTAGAGAAATAATGACACATTGATAAAAATGTTCTTACCAGGAGTCCATCTCTACATGTCGCTTTGCTCAGCGTGTGGCTCTCATCAAGAATGAGGCGATATTAAATGAAGAATTGGATCCTGCCCTGGTGAGACTGCCAGACACTCGTATTTCACCAACTGCTTTAAATAACRATCACACCACAGAGGCATAACTTGTTTTATTTTATTTTTCCACATGACCAGACCCTCTGTTTAGGTTAAATGGCTGACACTGATCAGTCAATTATGTATAGTGMGACCCCTGAGTTTACTTGCAACAAAATCCAACCCAGCATATGCCTAAATTTTTAGCATCATATTTTGTTCTTTTTTTATYATTCCTTTTTTAGAGCTACTCTATCATTGTCAAAGCAACCGTTTTCAAACATTTAGGGCTTAAATCTTTATTTCAAAAAGTAGGAATCACCAGCACGCCGATGATAAAATGTTTTAATAAGGGCAAAAATGGGACGTGTTTCAGCTATAAACCTTAGTCAGCTATTAAACCTCTATTTACCTTGGGATGCTTAGACTGCTTACTTGTCTTGTTTGCATCCTCTTTTTGTCTTGTTTACACRTAACCCATTTTTGTTTAGCATATTTTGTCCTAATACCTAACATCCTGTGGAGAAAAAAATATCCACCTAGGAAGTAATGTGTACAACTATTTCTACATATTCTTGCAAGAAAATACACACACTGTCCATATAAAACAATATTTGTGTCCAGAAGTTGATTCGAGGAGAGTTTTAAAATAGGGTTAGCAACTGTTTTTTTTTCCAGTATGTGTTGGTGTTTTAGTAAGTTGGAGAAAAATGGCAAGCAAATGATTAGAGGAAATTTTTTTTACAATTTTTGTTATTTTTTTACAATTACCAGGCCATACACATGTTGCCCTAACTGCTTTGTGTTAAAGATTGTTACATGTGAGTTGTCAAATTAAGGTCCTAGAAGAGTTTCACCATCCTGACAGTAATTTGCTTTCTGTATTCTTTAAGTACTATATCTATTAAACCTGATAGTTGTCGGAAATGCCTCTTAAGTGCATCAATTATAAACCAATACCAGCTATATCCACGTCATCTGCTTCCACACTGATCTGCCTCAGAATGAACTGCTACTGTATTACTGCTACTGAGATTTGGCTGGCCACTTGCAAACCCTACAGAGGTATTTTTAAGAGAGTCTGCGGCCGGCCCAGTAATTGTGACAGTGTCTGGCTGCTCCCAACTGGGCTYGACACAGTTGCAGCTCCAGGCAAAGCCAAGCTCCATGGGCAAACTGCTGGTCTCTGTTTATGGATTCATAGTGTGTTTCTCCTTGTGTTTGCTGGTTACGTTTCCAAAATTTTATCTCTCTCTTTGGTTTATTAAGATGACAGCATCACAAAGCCTGCAGCGTAGTTTGAAAACTAAAACAATGTTATTTATTGTGGTTTGGGTTGAGGCTTTAGTCTACATGTCTGACTGTTGGACTTGATGCTTTAGGTAATTTATTTGAAACCTGCAGTTTGCTTCTTATAAGTGTGTTTTCCACACTGGCTGGATTGTTTTTCTACTGCTAAATGGATTTCTGAACAGGAGAAAAACAGACAAAATGTTTAACAAAGATTTTAAGTGTGTGATCCATGCTTTYGTTACATCTCATTTGGGATTTTGTAGCTGCCTTATGTGCCTTCCACATCTCTCAAATCCAATGATCATTTGCCTTTGGTTGTCCCGCAGTCGAGACTGAACCATAGAGGTGATCGGGCTTTTTCAATTCGGGCTCCTAAACTGTGGAAGCAGTTGGCCCTTCACATCAGACAGGCTTTAACTCTTGGTGTTTTTAAATCTCATCTTAAAACACATTTGTTCTCAAAAGCCTTTAATTCAACATGAGAGTTGCCTTTTTCTGCTTCTATAGTTTGTTTTTATGGTTTATCATATTTGTTTTTATTGTTATGCTCTTGCATTCTGTTTTTATTGGTTGTAATGTAAAGTGCTTTGGCCAATGGGGGGTGAAACAGTAAAAGAATGAAGTGCTGAAATGTGACCTATGGGTGAAGTCTGCTGCAGTGACCCCACCATGAAAGGATGTTAGTTTTTCTAAGGGCACTAGGTCAGCTTTAGATGAGATTGAGGCTGGTTTGTTTTTGTCCATAGGAATTTTGTGCTGTTATTTGATGAGTTCACACTTTGTTGCGGTTTGTGTTTTGTGTGCATGAAGAAAACTTGAGCTTTGTGGGTAAGAATGCCTAATTTAAGCTGAACTAGTTTGCCTGTAAATGTTAACTCTTCCCAGTTGAGTGAAAGCAAACTGCATAGTTAGTCAACTTTCCTCCTAAACTCTAACTTCACAGAGGCACAGATATCAACTCGAAGACACAGCTTCTCTATGGCATATGGCTGTGAAGCAAACAGAGGCTTTTTATCACTRACCAGAGAGACGTTTTCAGAAAGTGAGTGTGAAAATTCCTGCATTTTGTTGTCTTGTCATTATGCTGAGCATCCTTTTAGACAAAAGCAGTTGTGTGGTTGTACCATGTGATATGGAGAATACAGGCCATGTGTTTGTGTGTGTTTTTTCTTGTGGAGGATACAAACCTCACCCAAAGGAGTAATGGAAAACACTACATCCTCTCCCCTCATAAAAAAGAGGCCCTGTAATAGCAGCATGTTTGAGTGGGACTTTGTGTAATATTGTATACAAGCATTTAGATTAAAACCTATGGTTATGCTGTAGTGCTTACAGTTAACTGTGGGTGGTTTTGTGCACAAAAAGAGGAGATAATTTTAGGTTTGAACTGTGTTAATGTTTCAAAGTTAAATGAGTGCTATGTTAGTCAGCGTGTAGATGGCAACATACAGTAGATAGAAGAAATTTACATCTTACAAGGGGTATTGTGTTGCATTGTTGCACTGTCATGAGTTTTTAAATATGCCATAATCAGTGATATGGTCTGGGTCAGTTTTATTTCAAAGTGTATGTAAACCCTTTGTGGTTTTGAAAAGCCAGCCCTGGGACTGGTGCTCTGAAATAAACTGCATCATGCCACTGACCAACAACTGGCGGTCGGATTTTTGAGGATGCAGCTGGGAGAATTAACATCTGACTGAGTGATTCCCCCCAAAAAAAGGAGAGACAGGGAGCTGCTCTGGTAAGAAATGGTCAGCCATGATATTTAATGTTCAARCATATGATATGGGTGGATTAGGGGCAAAATTTTTGTTTAGAAAAGTGGCACCTTACCAAAACCACAAAACAGGTCTGTTTCTTTTCACAAGTGTCTAGAGCTGACAGTGTCTTTCTGTTTCACTGGTTTTGATTTTCCAGTCAGAAAATGTGTCAGCTGAAATACCTGCATTTGTGTTAGATCACTCAGTCTCACCTTTGACCTTGTATCATTTCTCATTGACCTTTAGCTCCCTAACATGTTTGTGCCAGGACTGTTGCTGAATGCCTCACACACAGTTGTTATTTTCTTATATTACTGAGACAGTTCATGTCTTCACGTCTGCTTTATTTATGCGTGTGTGTGCGTGTGTTGTTTCTGCTACAGAGTGAGCACCGTCATATGTTTTTAACCTGCAAAGTGAGGTCCTTTTTGAGAAGTGAGGACATTTTGCCAGTCTTCACTTTTTTACAGTTCTACTACACTCTACTAGTTAGGTGTAGAGGTATGGTGGGAACTAAGTTCTGGTTAAGATTAAATAATAGACTAGTAATGGATAGTCTGCTCATTGCACAGTGGCCATTTCTTTTAACAAACACGCACAAACCAACAACAAATGTGTTTTTCCTGTTTCTTTTTCTCTTTCAGCTTTTTTTATTTTATGTTTTCCTTGTGAGCATACAGCTTTCAGCTGTCACAAGCGAAGTATGATAAGCTGTAAGATTAATGCCATTTGCTGTTTGTTAGCTGCCTTCGGGAAAATAAACGTTTTGTAAATGCTTGCACGTGTCTAAGACTTTGGTGCATATTTTTGTCATGTAAAAAAAATATGTATCCTTTTTGAGTCCTTTTTGTGTGTTGTCTGTTTCAGCTGATTGCGCAATTGAAAAGAGAGCTCGTGTCAGTGAAGGAAGAGCTGACAATGGTGACGGGAAAGCAGCGAGATGATCAGCTAACCGCAGAAGAAATCCGGAAGTATGCCACATCAGGTTCTTCATACTACTTTCAATGTGTTTGATGTATCAGTTTGCAGTAACTGTCAGACAATCCTGCCAGTTTGAGTAAGGTCATTGGTTGTAAGAAAGAGGCTTTCAGAACCACAGAAGTGGAGATGTAACATGGTCGAGGTCCTTAGTTCAATTCAGTTTAAGTCAGTTTAMTTATAAACTCACGTTGAATGAGAATGTTAAGATAAACTCGTTGCAAACCTTTCATCACAGAATTATGCTGTAGATGTTTGTCTCAGATGTTTACAGAGCACCTCAAACCCACAGTAGAAAATGTAAGCAGAAGATGTTTTAATGATGCTTCTATCTGTGTTGATCAAAGCAGCTGATACTTGAGCAAATATATGACGYAACTTGTAAGAAGTTAAAGCTTTTCCTAAAGAGTCAACATACCCAATATTGATAGGGAGGTGTCAATGCTGCACTAAACCTTTACTGTCTGAACTCAAACCAAATATACACAGAGAGGTTCAATCAGTCAGGGCCAGAGATGAAACCGGAGGTCTCATTAAAATTTGCTTATTACCACCCCTGAGCTGATGGAATTCTTGTTCCTTAGCCAACCTTAGTCATTTTCTTACTTTTTTCCTCTTTGTCCTGTTTGTGGTCCAGCTCACACTTGAAGCCYTTACTAATGACTGTTATGACCACATTGCATGACTATATCTTATTTTATTGTCAGTTTATACGTCTCCTTAWAAACTAATAATGTGCACAGTTTATTTCTGTTTTTATTCCAAATGTACATACACTATGTCCTACTGCATGTCGTATATATATTTTTCTTTTCAGACAATTCTTGCAGCAAATTGATTTAATTACAAATTCATACAAGCCACTTCACATTATAACTGTTTTTAATCTGCATTTACTTGATGACAGATCACTTTACATTGGAACAACTTTATGAAAACTATGAAATGCCACTTTTTATAGTTTGTATTTTATATTGTTTTCCGATAAAAATGTACATGGCATCAAAGGGGATGTTTTACAATCAAACTTTGCATCATAAACCCACATTTTCCAGCGCGCTGAAACATTATCACTATGTTTGTTTAAAGTCCTTCATCATGTAAACTTGTAAATTTAGCATGTTTTTAAGCTGAACGTGCAACAAAAAAAATTCATAAAAATAAAAACATGTTGACGTGTCTGCAGACGTGTCTACATTAAACCCATGTTACCTCCTGGTGTTTTATTGTGTCTGCTTCCAGATTTCAGCATACACTGTTTGGACGATCATTTAACGATAGTTTATCAGCAAGTCAGCCCACAGGAGTTGAAAAGCAAATTAAAGTAAATAATTTTGTTTTTTTTTACCCGACCCACATTTTAAACTATAAAAATATAGATCTTAACAATTTGACTGGCTGGTAAGGAAGAGGTGGAGTAATGGAAGCTGAAATTTGCCACTGTTTAACGCTTTGTTTTTAGTAAATTTGAGTATTTTTATGTCTTCATCTTTCTGTTTAGGTTGCATGAGCTCGTAAAGGCTTTTGTAAATGACCCAGATCCAGATGTGACCCTCTCCCTGGGACCAGACATGAGAAAAATCCAACGCTGTTTCTCCCTTCTGAAGGTAAAATACTAAAAGTTGTCTCTGTGTTTACAATATTAAGAGGGAATTCTTCCTGTTCAGCTTATTTTTTGTCTGATCTCTTTATTCTGTCATTATTTCCTATGTTTGTCTAACATGTCACTACTATGATTTACATGCTATTACTAAGTGTTAGTTCAAAGGCTTGTTCAGTTCTGGTTGTTTACTTAAAGATTAAAGAAATATTGATCATAAATTTTGTTAGTTAACTTTATGTCAAGTGATAAAGCTAAAAAAAATGTTCAATCTTCCTTTATTCAACAGCATAATGTTAATCACATCTTTGAAAACGCTTCCCTTTATCATTTCTTTAAAGATACTTCACTTTATGGTCAAAACACCTCTTGAAGGGTACYATCTAATAAGATCTTATAGTTCTAATTGTATATTACACATAATTATCGTCTTCAGACCTATTTGGAAGGTAAATACATCCCAGATCTACAGAATTTCTCCAGGTCTAYATGCTTGATGTTTTGATGTTTTGCAGTTTTTTTTCATCTAATTTGATGTTTGATGTAATCTTTACATGCGTGCCTAATTCAATGCAATGTTTAACCTCTTAAGATTTTACAACTTTTTACACTGGTGTGGTCCAGATCAGTGGGGATGAAGAAGGAAATGATCAGATTGAGCTGGTGGAAATGATGAAGTTGCAGGTGAGTTGTTTGCKTACAGTTTCCTGGAGGAGCGGCAGCGTGGCGTGAAAGGTGACTAAGATGTCCAGGTAGGAGGYGAGGAGCAGAGGCAGGTGAGTTATGTTTCCTGGTAGGAGGTGAGGAGATGAAACAGGTGAGTYATGTTTCTACGTAGGAGGCAAGGAGATGAAGCAGGTGAGTTATGTTTCCAGGTAGGAGGCAAGGAGATGAAACAGGTGAGTTATRTTTCCAGGTAGGAGGCTAGGAACAGGGGAAGGAGAGTTACAGTATGCTACCAGGTAGGAGCAGAGACAGGTGAGTAATGGTTCTGGTGAGAGGTGGGGAGCAGAGGAAGGTGAGTGGAGTACCAGGTACAAAGCCAGACAAAAGGTAGCCGGTCAGCGTTTCCAGGTAAGGAGGTTTGAGGAGGACAAGGTGATTCTCCACGAGACATCAAAATATTTACTGAAGACATAAGAAAGCACAGGTGACTAAGACAAACAAAAATAATATTTTAGGAGGCTTCAAAAGGCAGATGATGTTCCAGTCCAGCAAAGATCAGATTGTCAGTGGAGATTTTTAAAGCCACAGGAGTCATCAGGGGAGATGATGAGCAGCTAAAACACCTATCAGTGTGTTGCAGGTGTCGAGACAACAGATACCACAGGGATTTATAGAAAATGTGATTGATATTTCCTGTAAAGGTTTTTTTTTTTTTGGCCGTAGACAATTTTTTTTGCGAGAAGCATTAGCTTTTGTTTTTCAAAACAAARCAATTAGTTATATATTTAATTGTTCATTCCTCAAACAGCTGTTGTTTTCCGGCTGTTTTTAATATCCAAAAGGAAGCCTCTCGAGTGCACACTGTGTTCATGAGCTTATGGTTTGGTTGAGCTTCCACCAGATGTAGTTCCAGATCCCACTTGAATGAGTGTTTATATCTCCTGCAGTTTGTTATGATCTACAAACTCTATCTCCTGTTCAGTTTACATTCCAGCAAGCACCACCCCCGTCATACTCCAGTGTTTCTGTCGGAATCGGTCTGTTTTAAATTTGATTTCTTCTTTGTTTTTAAATCTGGTTTGCTTTTTCATGCTCAGCTTGTTTTTGTTTCAGGGTGATGTAGAAGCATATGCATACAGACGTGCAGTTTTCTGCCTTTCAGATTTGTTAGCGTTAATGTGCAGTGGGATCTGATTTATGAGTTATAAAGCTGTATGATGAAATGAAAATGAAGTTGAGTWAGAAACCCAGGGAATCCTCTTCCTGAATATGACTTCATACATGTATCATTCAGTTCTGTTTATTAGACTATCCTCACYCTCCTATATTGCCACATCATTTACAACATTTTGTTCTATTAGCAGGACTTTAGCAGGTAGTAAAATCTTATTTCCATCTTTTTTCCCACAGTCAATGATTATGGACAAACATGGTGAACAAAATGTGTGCAGTGAGCGACAACAGTCACCAACAGGAAGGAAAGAAAACATCAGAAATGACAGTACAACAGAAGAGGCCAAATTAAAGGAGATTCTTAAGCAACGTGATAACGAGATCAGTATCCTTTGATCCTTTTGATGTCCAGTTAGGTAAGCATGATGTGACAGATGATTGATTTGTAAAGGCCCTGTCACACTAGACAACTTATGCCAACTTATAAACATTTTAAAGACTTCTACATTGAAGATGGAATTGAAAAAAATCAACAGGATCTTTTTGACATGTATATGATGTAATTCTACAAATTGATCAAATATATCACTTTTATTAGCAGTTTAGACATAAAAAATGTTTCATAAGTTGGCATAAGTTGTCTAGTGTGACAGGGCCTTTGCACAACAACCTGGAAAGTCTCTGGTAAAAAGTGATCAGAAAAAGGGGAAGCACTTTCAGAAAATACTACATGCCTGGATATTAATTCCCATTTATGGGAATATAATTATAATTTTGCACATCAAATTCAAAACTACGTTCAGATCCTTGTAGCTGTACCTTTTTCAGGAAGAGCGCAGCAGGCTCTGCTAACTGRAATATAACACATGAAATATGGCACAGTTGTGTGTGTGTGTTTTTAATTTTGCTGTTGGCATAAAAATTGGAAACAATAATTGGTAAGGAAATTACATTGCAATTTCATTAATGGGATAACCAATTAGGAAAATTAATTGAGCGTGTTATTAGGAAAATTTACATTACCAAAGAAAACCTTGGCGATCGTGTTACTCTGTTGGATCATTAGACTTCTATATACAGTACACCTAAATAATTAAATATTAGTTGTCTTACACCCATGGCCAGTGCTCCAAAATACACTTGAAACCCTGTTTTAAGATGTTTGTGCATATAAATCTTAATTTCAAGGCTGCTGTTAATGATAAATGCTATTGATCATAATTATGGTTCTTGTGTTTGTGTATGATATTCGAGTGACTTTAATAGATTATTCCCCACTCAGCACATCACGTTGTGGTTTGTTGTTAAATCCCAGCACATTAGAAGGRAAACTGAGATATCTGCTTGATTGTTTAACCCACAAAACCTCAGCTCTCTAAAATAAACTGAAGATTATCATGCAGATATTTTACCATGGTGTTTCTTGGACCAAATATATGCAATGCGAGTTCCTCACTCCTTTGTATATTTTCCCTCTCAAGCTGTCACACACTGGTTTTCACATGATGCAAATGTAAATATCTAAATTGTCCCTGTGCATGTTAAAAAGCACATGTCTCAGGCCATAATATACACACGCTACCGATCACATTGCTTTTATGTTCCTTCATAGTGAAGTTTGTATATACAATTGCAGTAGCCTAAACAAGCCGTCCTTTGGACAAAGTAGTCTGTCTGCAGCATGGAACATTATAGGTTTATCAGGCCCATAGAGGTGTGACATCATTTCCAGCCCTACTACCAACAAGATTCAGACTATTACCTACTATCTCATCAGCATGATGTAGCTCCATAAGTTCTCTACACCATGAAATTAATGTGCTAAACCTATTTCTGGGAGCTACCGGTGTCCATGTTGCAGGTTCACAGTTCCCACACTGACACTGAGCCTTTAAACAGGTAATTGTAGGAATGTTGCCTGTAAAAGTGTATAACTTTTTTCCAACCCCAGCATGTTTTCAAACATGGTTAACTCTGCCAGGGAATTGGAGCAGCTGGTAATGCTTAGCGAACTTCACTGGTGGGATGGTACATTAACTAATAACATAATGGTGCAACAAAAGAAACCAATAAACACTGCAAACTTTTTGAAGAAACATACTGCAGGGCTCTCGTGAGTAATCCTGCTTCAGTGGTGCCTTTGGCATCCAAAGTCAAGTGGGGTACAACAATCTACTGTCAGCTTCTAATTCATCACTGATGCTTCAAACAATTTCATTTTACCTTTGTTAACAGACAAGAACTACATAGGAAGGAGAATTCACCATCTAATGTAATGAAATATGTGAGATATATTTTTATAGGGATACCTGAACTCAAAAGCTATATTGTTTATATAGCTTTTGGGTAGCACCCAAATTTTCCTCAAATGGCAAAATGTTTTTTTTTATAAGACACTTTTTTATTGATTTGTGTTGGCTTAAAATAATGGCCACTGCTTGCTAGCTAATTATCTGCCAAATCTGATGTTGGTGTTTATCATGACATGATTTTCACTGGAGACTTTATGGAATATCTGCACATCACTGGCTCCAAATGCAGAAACACCACACCCCAAACGAAAGACCCTCTGATTTACTGAAATGCCATTAAATGTGTTTCAGCCTTCCGTATATTTATTTATTTATTTATTTATTTATTTATTTATTTATTTATTTATTTATTTTCAGTCCAATGGAACAAGATTTTACTGTACATGAGACATTTTCTGCCTTTTTTATTGAAGTTGGAAGAGCTTAGCGGGAGTTTTATCAAACCCCCTCAGTTTTGCTCGTGTTTAGTCTCAGCAGGACTCAGAGATGATTCATTATTTGTGCAGAAATGTACTAGATTTAGAGTTTACATATAACGTTTTTTTTTCTTGTTACAGAAAACCTACCAAGCCAGTCATCTGCTGTATTTATAAATGGAATGGAGAATGAGGGGAAAAGACTGACAAAAGACTACATTATACTTAAATAAAAAATGGAAAAACATTGTTTTCCAGGAGAAAAAAAAGTCTGATTTGTCTGCGTACCCTGTAATCCATCTACTCCATATTTAATGACATTTTTAAGGTTTGCTGCATTCCCCTAATTGCTCTAGTTATTATTTAGTCTTACGTCTTTATTCACTCCAATGATACTGTAAAATATAGCTCAAATATTATCCCCTTTAATAAAAAATAACCTATGCGAATTTAAGGTATTCAATGATTTAGGAGTACTTACTGAAGATTTGGCAGAAAATTTTGTAGATGTGTTTCCTTTAGACAGTGCATGATTTCATGTAGCGGAATAATACTTTATGATTTATAATAGAGATTACAGAGAAAGCATCCTTACTGAAAACTAAGTAGATTTATAAAATGTTGGAAAATTTACCCCATCCTCACCTTTCAACATWTAGTTTAAAACAGATAAGACAGACAAAACAGAATCTCAACAATCTTATCACGCAATTACCATAGGTGTCTGATCTAACTTTTTATGAAACAAAAACTGAAATCTTGCATGAAAACATGTTCTTACTAAGGACTTTTATGGTACAATGCAAATGATGCAATTAGAGGTACATTTGTCAGCACTTAGTTTGAAGACATTTACTTAATTTCCTGTGATGTCACTAGACAATCTAATGAAGAATGATGAGACAGATGAAGAGTCTYACCACAACTTTTTGAGCTAATGTCATGCGAAGCAGCCCACAAATCTCACATGCAACCTTCTGTAGATATTTTCACCAGCCACGTGTGTCTTGTGGTAAACTTCATTATACGGATCTCAGTAATGGAAAAACCTGATGAACAGAAGTCTGAAGTAATTACTGACAGTACATGAAGTGACACATGTCCTCAGAGCGTTTCTGTAAAACTTGTCTGTTGTAGGTCATTTGGAAGTTTGTCAAGTTAAGATTTTGGCAGTTTTGAGCAAACATAAGGGTTTGTTTTACTGGAAACTGTAATTGGAGCCTTGGCTTCTTCATGTCATTGTTCCCACTCTTTGTATTGACTGACAGAAACAAAAATTGCATTATTCAGTCTCCTCAGAAATTATCTTCTCATCATCCACAAAAGGACACTCATATTTTCTTATTTGAACATCTCAAATTGTGTGATGACCACAATAGTTAGTTCTGCCACAATCTCATATTAAGTAAGCAAATGAATAGTTGGCTTAATGCTGTGTGACTTTAAATTATGGGGTTGGGATTAGGGTATCAAACACATCTCCATTTATCATATAGTTGAATACAAGGCTTTGAAGTCCAGCTGCTATTGATATTTGTTCTTTTAAAAATCATTTTTGTTAAAGTTGAATGACTTTACCTAATTTTGTACCAATTTGTAGTTATTCACAATTTAGTTTGTTACTCGCTAATAACATTCTGCAAGTAGTTTTTTCAAATAATTTAATGTTTTTTCTTTCCATTGTTTTTGTTTATTAGTTCAAAAAAGTAAATTTTTTTGTGATCTCTGAACTGTCCCTTTCCTTCACTCCAGCATATCATTATGATAAAGAAGTCTTCTTTGAGTGAATATTAACAAAAATGCTGAAGTATAACATCAACACATTGATTTGATAATTAAATTTGAAAGTGCCAAAGAACATGTGTTCTACTGTAATATAACATAGGTAATGCTGGCCAGATGAACTCAGTTTGATCAGAAACTTGAACTTAAAGAAGGAACGTGTCGAGTTAGAGGCAGTAAAGCAAACACATGCTGTAAATTTTCCTAATACAATTTTTTTCATGTGGATAGGGGGGAAAAATGTTCCGGGCAATAAAAATGTCAACAGGAAGTAGACATTTCAGCATGTGTTTTATTGAACCAAAGCAAAACATGGAAATAGGAAACAATAAAGTTTACAAGACAGACTAAAACAAATATATGTGTTTTATTTTTTATTTCTTTTTTTTTAATCAAAGCTTTTTGTAAATAGGTAAGTGTAATGAATCATGGACCATTTTTTTCTGCACCACATTTCAAATTTTTACTGGTATCTATCCAGTTTGCCTCAGTGACACTCCCTGACACATCTACATTTGGACTCAAGTGCACATACATACACAAAAGCCCCAAAGTGGAGGAAGATTTAGGGAAATCTTGGCAGAATCCCTTTAGTTCTTTTGGGTCCTCTTTTTCTCCACTAATTCATCCCAGACCATGACACCATCCCAGGCCTCTTAGGTCAGATGCTGAACACATGTCAACACTTTGACATTTAAGAAATTGCCACGAATGTTACTCACTAACTGAAAATAGCCACTTGTGAGCTCAATTTTACAGTAAGAGTGTGAAATCTAAAATTAACTGGTGGGTATGCTTTTGAAGCCTTAATGGGTCTCTGGAGGGATTTACATTGAAACTGTTGAACTAACCAGTCACGTCTTGTGGAGAGTAAGAGCTCTTCTTTCAGTGTTTTTGATCAAATAAATGGCAAGTACCGTAGATTCCTTAACTTGTTACTTCAGGTATCCTAGTGAAGATACTGAAAAAAGAAAAAAAACGGGCAGATGATGCTTCAGCTCAGCTTGCTAACATCAGCAATCGCCAAAACTTGTTCTCCCACATGGCCCYGAGCACGTCAACGGCATCACAATCAAGAGAGGCAAACGTGGACACCTTTCCAGGAAAGCATGAAGGACAAGCATCCGCAATGCTCCAGTTGAAAGAAGGAAATGTGGAAACCTTAGCAGCAGGTCATAGTGGAAGAATATCCGCACTGTCACAGCGGAGAGAACGAAACACGGACATCTTTTTCACAAACAACGCGGAATATGCAAACCCAATGTTTCCATTTAGACGAAGAAATGAAAAAATCTTTGCAGATGATGAAAAAGAGTCCCCAAACCTGCCGCTGACGGGCAGAAACATGGACACCTTTCCACTGAACCACGAAGGGCAAGCTTTTACAAGACTCCAGTTAAAAGAAAGCAACTTTGAAATGAACCATGAAGGACAAGTGTCTACAGTGTCTCAGGTGAAAAAGGCAAACATGGCCACCTCGCCAGCAGAACATGGAAGAGAAGTGTTAACAAGGAAACCATTGAAAGAAGGAAGCATGGACACCCATCCTTTAGAACACAGAGGACAAGCTATTCAGTACATGAAAAGAGGTATTTACCTTTATAAATCTTTTTTTACAAACATAATAAATGTAATATTAATATTCAAAAGGCTTAAAACAATGTTGGTTTGCAGAAAGAAGGATTAGAATTTTCAGATGTGCCTTTGTGGTTTCCAGGATGTTTTCAGCATAGGTACTCCATAAAGACCAGATGATGACAAAACAAAAAYAATATATTTATAACCGTGATATTCAACCAAGCAGATAGTTGAGCTTTAGATATCAGTCTGTAGATCTGTAGATGTTCAAAGCTAGTATAAATCACAGTACATAACATTAAATATAAGTTCATTACAATTTTCATAGAGATGAACAGTATGAAATGTAACAGTCAGCCTTGCTTAGTTGAAAGAAGTGTAATATTTATGATATATTTGGTGCTAAACCTAGAGAAAGGTGATCTTCCTCAGCTGGAATGTGGGCAGCCTTTTTGTGGTTTTTCAGATTTTTGATGYTCCTATGTGGCTGCCTGTAGGCCATGACCACTTCGTGATTTGAGGACTTTAATAACTGGAGAAGAGTCTGACATCATGCTACATTTATTTCCTTAGAGTGTCTTCAGTGGGATTGAGTGTATTAAAATATTTAGTCTAGTCATGTCAGCAATGCAACATTAAACGATGCAGTATATTAAACATGTAATTTGTTACTACTGAAAAGCAGATGGGTTTAAAACTTGTAATGCTGACTGGTTCATAGAGCAGAGACCAGAGGCCAGTTCAGACTGGACTGGGATTTGCAAATCTGAATTTAAATTTAAGATCATATTAAATTAAATCAAAGGCTCCATTTGTAAGAAACAATTTCTGCTAATACCTTATTTCATAATCTTTATTTAATACAAAATAACTGTGTACCAAGTAAACATTAATTTTATTCTCCTCCTAAAAAGGATGTTTCCATATTGTATAATTATAAATTATATTATAAATGATTACATAATTATAAATCAGCTGTTGACAATAGCGTAAGTATGTTATTTAACACCCTTCACTTTTTTCAGGAAAAATATAAAACTTACATCTCTGTGGTGAATATTTTTTACTGACCTCATTACTGTGACGGTACCCTTATGTCTCAATATTTTGTATTTTTACTGCAATTACTTCGGAATATGTAGAAACCCTTGTTTACTGTCAAAAAGACATTGCTCTTAAAAGTGCTTTATTTTTTGGTATTTTGTGGCTTTAAATCAAATGATTGCTGACTGAAAGCTCTGATGTGATGTGTACAGATGTGTCTGCACACAGTTACCCACAGCAAACCTGGATTTAACATCCAGATACTCACATTTCTCATTTCTAAGCTATACATGACGAGAGATTATCTCTGGACATTTTTTTATAATCTTCCAAGTCACTAAATAGTCAGGATGCTATAAAATCATCTGATTGTGCAGTTGTTCATTTTTATTTATTTATTTATTTATTTATTTAATTATTTATTTATTTATTGCAGTGGTCCATTTTTGCAAACAGTGCAAGCTCTAAATCCGACGTTCGAATAAAACTGTGGTAAAAGGCAAAGATAAAAAAGCAAATGGAGCAGCACATGCTCAATATTTACTTTGTTTTCTTGAGGTAAATGTGGCCTAACGACTTCCAAATGTGATGTAATGAAGCAGCATCCTGGTCACTCTCACATGTTGTCTTAAATTGATTTCCTCAGTTGCAGTTGATTGTATAATCTGCCTGTGGTTTTGCTGCGGCTTATAGATTATGATCTAAACCTTTGAAGATAATGATGACCCAGCGTAGCAGCGTTTAGTYGCAGACAGCAGCACCGTCTTTGATGGCCAGAATTTTTTTTTAAGGTTTAAACGCAACAGGAATGCAGAGGTTAGTGACACTCAAACCAGCTGAATGTTTATGCCTCGAGCCAGAAGCAGCATTTGTTTGGCTTTCCTGTTTAATTTTGCCTAAGTGGAGCCTTAAGTGTGATGATAAACCCAAGTTCTTTAACGAGCTCGGTCAAAGCCATCGGGCAGAAGGGTACGAGCCAGAAACTCATCAAACTGTGCTGCTGTCTGTTCAAACCACAGCGTCCTCATTCATGCTGACATTTTTTGTAAGGGTGCCCGGTGCGCTAATAAGGCCGGCAAAATGGGATCTCAGAAAGAAGAGTCTGTAGAAAAAAAACCCACACATTTGAAGTCAGTGAGGGTTAAATGTCATTTATAAAAATAGTGGTTTATAGAATTCAATGATAAATTATGTGCAGTTTACATTAGTCCCTTACAAAGCTTTGTAATACAATATGGGATTGAAATAATCATCTGGGTTGCCTTAGTAGGGTTTTTTTTTTTTTCAATTTTTATTTCCCTTTGTTCTTGGCCGCAATATAACGTCAACCTTGTACATTTTATACAGCATCCAGTTTCAAACTATGCTATAGGTACATTAAAATTGTTAATATGCTGTAAAACCAATTGTGGTCACATTGACTAAAACACCTCATAGATGGGAAACATTTTTACAGCTTAGGTTTCGGCTGTGTAATAACAGCAAAACCAATAGAGTTTCTCCTCTCTCCTTAAAGACATTAAATCTCATTAGTGACCTTTGGCTCATTGTTTTTGTTTTTTTATTTAGTTTGGTAACCAGGTCCAGGAGTCTGTTTATGGTTTTAAACTTTCTATTTTAGAAAGATAAGGGCTACTACCCTCAAAAGAAAGTTAAACTGACATTGATGTTTGTATCTTTGATCGTATTTTTGCCTTGGGACCTTCCTGTTTTGCAAGTTTCCATACAGTTCTGTGAACCTTGCTTGGTTTTCCACACATGCACCACACAGTGGTTCAGGGTATTTTTRAAAGCTTATATATGAATGTTAGTATTTTTAATTACATATTTCCAGTTTAGCTGAGGTAGACTCTAATCAACTTGTTGAAGCAGTTCAGGGATTAGTTACTGACAAGGAAAATAGCCTGAAAGGTTCAGCTGTGTGAGTCAAAGGGTGAATGAGAGGTATAGTTCAATGTTTAATAAACACTTGACACGTTTCTGTTTGAATATTAAATGTACTGATCGGAAATCAATTAATTCTTGGATGYATTTGAAATAAACAAAGAAAAAAATTATCTCTTAAAATTCTTTTTTTTTTCAGTGAAAATGTGTGCACAAATTACACCTTTATTTTGATGTAGTCTATGTTATGACAGAAATATTAACCATTATCTATCTATTCCTTTTTTAAATTAAGAACTGAAAGGGATATGTCCTTGACAGAGCTGTAACGTTATTATTCTCAAAGGCAGTCTTGAGTGGTTTCAGCTTACATTTCCTTYTAAGTTTGGCCATGTTGATTTATTTCAGATGGTATTAAAAAAGCATGTATGCTATAATGACTTTACCTTCARTACTGTGAATCTGTTGATGCTTTTGTTCTTCTTTAAAGTTTGGTAAAGGATGTGAGTAATAATTGTTACAGCATTGCAATTACGCTGAATTTTGTAAAGAATAATGTTCTGAATGTCTCTACATTTGACATAACTAAATACGTATAATTCTTACTAAAAGTCCTTGAGAAAAATCAAAGACTAATGTCAGCTGTTACACAAAATTTTGAACTGAGGGGGTGATTGTACCACTCTTGAACATTAACTAAATTAGGTAAATGCATGAAGAATTTTGTTACCATCTATTCTTTTGGGAATAAATTACTATCGCTTCCAGAATTCCCAAGTCCTGTAATTGCTTACTCACAGTTACGTGCTCACCCTGGAATTTCCATCCAATGTTCTCACACTTCATGCAACTTTTTTTCCTCTTTCTGCTCAGTTTGTAAGCTGCACTCTGACCAGGACACACTTCGGGCTTGATCAGCTGTTATCCAGCAGGAAAACCTTGATATTGTCCAGATAAACTTTGCACTTAGGGGGACAGAAACATTTAAAAGCATTTCCAGAAGCTGCAGATGACATGCCTCAAATGCTTAGGGTGTTTTTGATTTTGTGCAGAATCTGGAGCAAATTTATACTGAAACTGTTTTATTTTTATTACAAAAGTTTTTATTATTTCTGCAACCAAAGKTGTCCTATTTATTTGTCAAAGTAGCAGTGAGATGTATTAAATCTAGTTGAAATGTACATTTTCACTAAAATATTCAGAATGTACAAAATAATATGGAAAAACAAGTCTTTTTTAAATGTACTACAGCATATGTTTCACATCTGGAAGTACCTATCTTTTTTGACCTATATGACCAAACTGAAGGTACATTACATCATTCTTCATTACTCAGTTGTAATTTAAAACAAATGCACTACATGTATCTTTGCTTCTTGGTCATTGAATGTTGATATGTGCATGAATGTAGTTTAAATCAAAATTTTAGCCAAGAGCTTATAGAGTTACACTAAGCCAAGCTGCTGTCACAAGAAGATTAAATGTACCTATGATGGTAAAATACAGTAAATAACAATGAAGTTTCCAATTTAAAAAAACCACACTATAATGCTGATGGAGTACTATATAATTTACATTAAAGGATGTTTTATGATCACCTCCACTGAAGCGGACTATATTACAAGTTGATTTTCTCTGTTGATTTTCTCTAATAGCAATAATTCTGGTGAGTGTACAAAGGTAAAAAATACCTAAGTCTAATTCTGAGACTGCCTAGTTTTAAACTACTTTTTGTATTTTTATGCTTTTTATGATAGAGCAAACTACTGAGTGAGTGAGTGAGTGAGTGAGTGAGTGAGTGAGTGAGTGAGTGAGTGAGTGAGTGAGTGAGTGAGTGAGTGAGTGAGTGAGTGAGTGAGT